ATGCTTGTTCTTTGCATTGAGAAAGATTTAAGTTTCTGCTCCCTTTCAAGAAAAAAACAATAAAAGGAACCTGCGTTGAACATGCACTTAGGAGAAGGCTAGCTAAAAATATTCTTTTTCCCTCTGTGAAATTAAATTGCAAATAATCAAACTAAAAGATAAAGCAAGCAACAAACAAGAAATTAAAACCAACATATTTACAAATCAAGACACTGAATTTTTTATGTGAAGAACCCATATGAAAAAACCCATGGATGTAATGCAGCTGAAAAACTTTCACTACTGAAATATGAAGATCTTATCAAAGTTTTTCTCTGTGCAAGATTGGAAACTCTTAACAACAATAAATTGTCAAAAATAAATTCTCGAATCACCAACATTATAATTAGCAAATCAATTCATTTTTGGAATGATCCCCTAAACCAGCCACTAAACCCTTATTTAAGGCTTCAATTACCTGATACATTCAAAGTCTAAACTGCACTAACCAGTAACCTTTTTTCCTGCTTGTCTTTACACCACCCTTTCATTTCATTTAAGCCTTCATGCATGAATGGTGAATAGTTTTCTCAAAACCAGAGTGATGGACAGATACGAGAGACTGATCCTGAAGGAAGAAAGAAAAGAGATTATTAGGCTGAATTTTTCAAAATGAGCAGAGAATTGGATAGTTTGGTTTAGTATTCAGGACCAACCGGCTTTAATTATTGGTACTGGAAAAGAGTAAGACATGACATGTCACATGTGGTTTCTCTCCAACTTCCTCGCAATGTTGAAATGTGCTCCTTTGCAGGGTCCACCATAATTTTATTTGGAGGTCCTTGGAGGGGAAGTGTGAAGTTTTGTGGAATTTTGTGGTTTCACTTTTCATTGAGTGACTTCAACTGAATATATACAGTTCCAGGACCCATTGGCTTTTATTATTGATTGTTGGAAAAAGACACTGATTTCTTTCCTATTTCCATGTATTTCCTTCATTTCCCCACACATGGCATGAAATTCTCTCTCTCTCTGTATTTAAATTTCTACTCGACTAAACTTACATTCACCCACACAGCCGTCTTGTTTAAAGGTATTGGGCAAACCTTCACTCAAGGCCATGGCTAATGTGCATGGCCGGATAGAATTGTTTTTGCCAAATTTGTATTTGAAGAATTGAAACCTGCATTTTCAATATGGCTACATCACCCTCTAGTACTTGCCCAACATGTTAATTTCTCTTTATTCTAATTGGAGCTCCCCATTAATTTGCAGCAAAGCAAATACAAAGCATAAAACTTCCTTTGCTTTTGTATAAGGAGGGAAAAAAGTTAAAGAAGAAAGCGAGCAGGAGCCAGTTCATTGTTAAATAAAGCAGTGTGCTCAGTTTGGATGCCTTAATTCTGCTGAAACTTTAGCTATAAAGATTTTATATGTATCTGTTATCAGTCTTTGCTTCTTCTCAATTTAAACTAGATGTCATGTCTGCAATTGTGAATGATATATACAAGGTAGGTCTAGTGAGGTGAGCTTTTCTAGCTTTTGGGGATGCATGGATCAAAAAGCCAGTTTGTGCAGTGCAATTGAAATACAAATAATCAAACTAAAAAAAATAAAGCATGCAAACTAACAAGACTAGAAACTCTCAACTACATTTGCAGAGAAAGGCAATACATAATCATATAAAGGGAACAGTAAAAAGAATTGATGAACAAGTCCATTGATGAAATAAAGTGAAAGATATTGCGAGTGATCAATTCTCCACCTTTGATTCCATGTCCTAAACAATAACATAACCAACAGAAATATATAACAGTATGTTTCAGAGAGGTAATTTGGTCTCTCAGGGGATAAGTTGTGCTTTTGCAAATGAAAAACTGCAAAATTGCAGCTTGACATAATCAGATTTACAAGCTTGTTGAATTCACTAAAGGTCATCTGCTTTCCAGTTCCAGCTCACCGAAAAGTTAATCTCAACAAAGGCCAGTCAATAGCGGAAATCCTTCTCAATCAATACATGCTCAATTATTTAAGAATCCCTCCCATCAGAATGGAAAATATGAGGGCCTGGATGCAGTATTAATATTTTCCATAGTCAGGAGCCTCTTCTACTCTAAATTAATTAAGAGACACTGATAATTGAGATTTAATGATAAAATTAGATTGAAGATAATTAAAGCTTCTCCATTCAATGATTTCTTACCCATTATGTACAAGAAGCATGGTGTCCTCCACGTGCAGAAGGTCCATGATCTATAAAATCCATTTCCTGCAAACAAGTAAAAGCTTGGACTTTTTGAGAAGAAATGATACAAAATTTTGCAATTCTACAAAAGTTTACATGGATACTTTTTCTTTACCATAAGTAGACAACAGGACAATTTCATCCTCATATCTATCATTACACGTTCCACCTTTCACATGAAAAAGCTAGGAAGCAGATCAATTTGGACCCTCGAAAGATGAATTGAAGGGCAAGCATCATCTATAACTTATCAGATAGTCTAAAATTGTTGGCTCAAGACAATCAGTTTAACAGTTGTGTAAGAACATGAATTTGTAAATGAGTCATCCATATGATAAAATGAGGCTTACAGAATGATGTTCAAGAAATTAATAGAGGATGTAGAACCAACTATATGAGGTGCAAAATTAATATATAAACTGTTGAGGGAATTTAAATGGACTTTTAAGTTTTGTCATCCAAGAAAATTAGTAACATTGAGGAAAGGCAGGCAGCATATGGAAATTTAAAATTCAAGAAATTAAATACATGAAGAATTGATTGTGGGATTGGTGAGCTTCCATATTTGACAAAAGTATGAATCGGTTGTACCTGGCTGGCTATGCCTAAGGGAATACCTGCACATATCAAAATTTGGATATAGTCTCAAGATTCTCAACTTGACCCGCTATATATATGTATCTATAGTAACCAAAATTAATTTTCTAAATTCTTAGATCAAAGCATGATGATCAATAATGCCAGTTTCAGTTCAGAATGGTAGGTTATATTACCTGTTTAATGTCTACGTTAACAAAGGGGATGGTACAGGTGAGAGGCCAGTAGTCTCCTTTGCCCTCAAAGTGCTGTCACTTTAGAAGCGGACTAACTCTGATATCGAGTGCTCCAAGTGAGGAAGGCAACCATTCCCTCGGCAAGTATCGTAGCTAGCTTTGGGCAGGTGTATATTGATTCCAGATTTTCTACATTTTTGGAAAATCAATTCATTTTTGGAATGATCCCCAAAACTAGCCACTAACCCTTAGTTTAAAGCTCCAATGCCATGATCCATTTAAAGTCCAAGCGCTCCACTACCAGTAACTTTTTTCCCTGCTTGTCTTCATACCAGCCTTTCAGTTCAATTATGCATATCGATGAAGAGTCTTTCTCTCAACACCAAAGCAATGGACAGATATGCAACAGACTGATCCTGAAGGAAGGAGGAAAGAAAGTAAAATGGTAGTTCTAATTAGCATAATAAATTCATCTATAGCTAATAACTTGAATTTAAACTTTTAAAATTTGCACAATAAAGGATTAATGATTTGAGCATAATGCTACCTTGAAGCAGTACTCCTCTCCATCCATCCACCTTCGTACATATCCTCGAGTTGTCCCTGATATGGCAAGAGAAATTACCCCAAGAACTCCAAGAAAATCCATGTCCTGCAAAAATGAATCAAAGCTTAGCATTTTCTTGAAGAAATGATAGAGAATCTCTCCAACAGAGAAACTCTCCAACAACTGTGGGGATGAGAAGGTGAAGCACAGCAGGGAAATTGAAGTGCCTTGAAAAGAGGGATGCACCACTCTCTTGCATTACCAGAGAAGGCATTGTTTGGAGGGTAGAAGTTTGTTGCTGCAATCATGATGGATCCCAAGTACCACTACTATTTATTCATCAAGACATTTGATCTTGAAGCATACCCTGCAAATCAGTTCATTGTGAGGAAAACTAGAATGAAAAAGGAATACAGCAGTTGTATCATTGCCATATTTCAAGAATAGATGAATTCAAGTACATTGCTTAAATAATGTGAATGATAGAGATATAGAGAGTGAGATGAGTTCTAAAGATTTTCTACAGCCAGAAGCTTTACCTTATTGTGGAGAAACATTCAATAATTGAGATTTAAGGATGAAATAAGAGCCAAGATAATTGAAACTTGTTCATTGTTGATTTCTTACCAATTATACACAAGAAGCATTTCGATCCTCCATGGACATTAGACCATCCCCCTTCATTTTATTGAATGTTCCTTGATATGGTAAGTGAATTTACAAGAGAACAACCATAAAATCCATTTCTTGCAATCTGCAAATGCAAAGTAAAAGCTTAATTAGCCTTATTAAGATGAAATAATACTACAGAATATCCTCATAATTAATTAAATGGTTTTGTTGTCATTTAGATGGACTTTATTATCCAAAAAATTAAAGTAGAATGATGTAGTAGTAACATTGAGTATAGTTGCATCCAGAAATATGAATGAAATTCAATAAAGTAAAAAATCTACCTGAAGCCTGTAGGATTGTTGAAATTGTTTAAGATTTGAGTCAAGTAATTAAGAAATGGTTGTGTTGCTATCCTATGGAAATATCTGCACAGAATGGATTATATATACATAAGAAAAGTTAGACCAAGAGCTCCTTCCTTTGGTTTATATATGTGGTAAATCAAAATTTTCAGATGAAAAAAGCATAACATGATAGCCAGTTTCGGTTTCAATTTCAGCTCCAAAGCAGTACTTTTATTACCTGATGCCCATCTATCTCAACGTAGGGAATGGTACAGGTGAGAGGCCAATAGTCTCCTTTTGCCTCAAAGAGCTGTTGTTTTAGAAGCGGACAGTGTATGATCCAGAGACATCCAAGCGAGAGAGGCAAGCTTTTCTTTGGCAAGGATCGCAGCTTCGGGCAGAAGGATATGCCTAACATTTGAAGAGAGTTTAGGTTTTGGAAGAGCTCTCTGGGTATTGATTCCAGATTTTCAACAAGTCCGATTAAAAGAGTGGTTAAAGACGAAGGCAGCACAATATTCGGAGGGCATGTCCCAGAAATGAACAAGTCTTGAAGAGAGGTAAGGTTGTGGAGACCCCATCCCATCACCGTTACCAAATGCCCCTCTGGAACTGGATTGGATAGTTTCTGAGTCGATATCAGCTCCCCCGTCGCATTTAATGGTAGGAACTTGAGAGTCGAATCGTCTAACTGAAGTTCTGTTAAGTTTGAGGGAAAAAGTAAACCCCCATTCTCATTCCCAACTGGAATCAAATCTATGCTTGGACAATCCATTATATATAGCTTATGAAGCGATTTCAGCTGGGCCATTGTAGTTTTTGGAAAGGACTTGAGATTCTCACAACCATTTATTAGCAATTCCTTGAGATTGGGGATGCATAAGCCCAAATCTGGGATGGACTCTAAAGCTTCACAATGCGAAATTTTTAATTCAACCAGATTGCTGAGGCAGTCAAGGCTGGGTAAGTTTTTCAACACTTGACAACCCAAAATACAAATCAATTGAAGTCTTGTACAATGTTGCAGCATTCCCTTTGGAAAGGATTCCAATCGCTTGCAATCCCTAACATCCAATTTCTGAAGAGAAGCTGGGAGCCGACCCCCCCGAAAAAAAATTAAAAATGGAAGGTTACTCAAACATAAATATTCGAGATTGCTGTTGTTGTCACCATCATCCTGCAACAGTATTCCATCTGGTAGAGACTCAAAATTTTTACATCTTTCTTGGTCAACTGTCTAAGTGTGGTGGGTAAGGATATTGACTTGAGAGAAGGACAACCATCTAGTTTCAACACTTCAAGTCTCAACATGTTGGTGCTATTGCTGCTACTGCTTCCAATTCCATCTGGTAGAGACTCAAGATTTTCACATTTTGCTATTCTCAACCGCTTAAGTGTGGTGGGTAAGGATATTGACTTGAGAGAAGGACAACCATCCAGTTCCAACACTTCAAGTCTCAACATGTTGGTGCTATTGCTACTACTGCTTCCAATTCCATCAGGTAGAGACTCAAGATTTTCACATTTTGCTATTCTCAACCACTTAAGTGTGGTGAGTAAGGATATTGACTTGAGAGAAGGACAATCAACTAGTTCCAACTCTTCAAGTCTCAACATGTTGGTGCTACTGCTACTACTGCTTCCAATTCCATCCATCTTCATAATCATCAGATCAGGTAATGACTCTAGTGCCTCACAACTATAAAGGCCAAGAAATTTAAGATTCAAAGGCAAGAGGCCTTTTTCTTTCTCTGACAACAGCACAGGCAAAGGACAACTCCTAATTACCAATTTCTCTAGACGAGCAAGGTTTACAGTTTCTGATCCTTCCTCCCACAAACAAGTAAGTTCTTCACACCTTTCAATTTCAAGATTCTCAAGAGCTGTTAAAGACTGTGTAAAACATTTAGGCAAGAAAGATAGCCCCGAAATATGCTTAATTGTCAATTTAGTGAGAGAGGTGGGATCAACAATGCTCTTCAAAACAACTGCATTGCAGTCTCTAATATAAAGCTCCTTAAGTGACAGAAAACCCATAGATGAGCATTTTAAATCTGGACATCCATCCATAACAAGATTCT